CCCAGCACAGCAGGCCCCTTTCCCCAGAGGACCAGTAGGAACCCCTGCCCACACCACATCTCCTGACCAGAGTTCTGGAGGGCTTCAGTTCTAGTGGAACTAGTATCAGATCTCATTTAAACCAGCAGACCAGAATACACCTAGTTAAAACCTGCCACATTCAGGCCAAGGACCAAACACTACCCACTGCATGCAAAGAGAGCCTCTGCAGAGGACTGGCCTGAAGGACAGAACAGCCAAAACACTACAGCAGGGTGCATGCAGCACATGCAGCACGCACCAGAGACACCGCCTGAAGCACCAGGCCCTGGACACTCACTATCTGACCTCTTCTTCATAAATCCATTATTCTCAGGAGAAGGAAACATAACGAACTTTTCTTATACACAGAAGAAGGCAGAGACTTAGACAAAATGCCAAGACAGAGGAATTAATCCCAAACAAAAGAACAAGATAAAGTCACGGCCAGAGATCTAAGCAAAATAGATGTAATATGCTTGATGGAGAATGTAAAGCAACAATCATAAGGATACCACTGGGCTTGAGAAAAGAACAGAAGACATCAGGGAGACCATTATAGCAGAGATAAAAGAGTTAAAAAAGAATCAGTCAGAAATGAAAAATACAGTAACTGGGATTGGAAACAGGCTTGATGCAATGAACACAAGGCTGGAAGAAGCAGAGGAACAAATAAGTGACATAGAAGGTAAAATAATGGAAAATAGTGAAGCTGAACAGAGAGGAAGAAGAATTATAAAATATGAGATTAGACTTAGGGAATTCAGTGACTCCAACAAATGTAATCACATTCGTATTATAAGAGTCCCAGAAGAAGAGAGAGAAAAGGGGGCAGAAAATTTATTTGTGAAAATCATTAACTGGAAACTTCCCTAAACCGGGTAAGGATACAGACATCCAGATCCAGGAGACACAGAGAACTCCCAACAAAATCAAAAAAAGCAGGTCAACACCAATACATATTGTAATTAAATCTGCAAAATATAGAGATAAAGAAAAAATCTTAAAGGCAGCAAGACAAAAGAAGTCCTTAACTTACAACGGAAAACCCATAAGGCTAGCTGCAGATCTCTCAACCGAAACTTGGCAAGCCGGAAGGGAGCGGCATGATACACTCGAAGTGCTGAATAGGAAAAACCTGCAGCCAAGAATACTCTATCCAGCAAGACTATCAGTCAGAATATAAGGAGAGATAGAGAGTTTCCCAGACAAACAAAAACTAAAGGGGTTCTTAACCACAAAACCTACCCTGCAAGAAATATTAAAGGGGACTCTTTGAGTGAAAAGGAAAGACCAAAAGTGACAAAGACAAGAAAGGATCAGAGAAAATCCCCAGAAACAATGACAGAACAAGTAACAAAATGGCACTAAATACATATATATCAATAATTACTCTGAATGTAAATGGACTAAACACACCAAACAAAAGATACAGCATGTCAGAATGGATAGAAAAACAAGACCTTTCTATATGCCACCTATAAGAGACTCATTTTAGACCTCAAGACACCTACAGATTGAAAGTGAGGTAATGGAGAACCATTTATCCTGCACATGGACATCAAAAGGATGCCAGAGTAGCAATACTTATGCCAGAAAAACTAGACTTTAAACCAAAGACTGACAAGACATGAAGAAAGGCACTATATCATAACAAAGGGGACAATCCAACAAGAATATCAAACAATTGTAAATATGTATGCACCCAACATGGATGCATATATATATATATATACATATATATATATATAAAACAATACAAACATAAAGGAACTAATTGATAATAATACAGTAATAGTAGGGGACATTAACACCCCACTTACATCAATGGACAGATTTAACAGAAAATCAACAAGGACACAATGGCTTTGAATGACACACTGGAACAAATGGATTTAACAGATATATTCAGAACATTCCATCCTAAAATAGCAGAATACACATTCTTTTCAAGTGCACATGGATATTCTCCAGAATAGATCACATACCAGGACACAAATCAAGCCTCAACAAGTACAAAAAGATTGAGATCATACCATGCATATTTTCTGACCACAAAAAGAAACTTGAAGTTAACCACAAGAAAAAATGTGGAAACACCACAAATACATAGAGGTTAAAGAACATCCTACTAAAGAATGAATGAGTCAGCCAGGAAATCAATAAAGATAAAAAAAAAAAAAAAAGTATGGAAACAAATGAAAATGAAAACACAACAGTCCAAAACCTTCAGGATGCAGCAACAGCGGTCCTAAGAGGGAAGTATATAGCAATGTAGGCCAATCTCAAGAAGCAAGAAAAATCTCAAAGAGACAACCTAACCTTACACCTAAAGGAGCTAGAAAAAGAAAAGCAAATAAAGCCTAAAGCCAGCAGAAGGAAGGAAATAACAGAGATTAGAACAGAAATAAATGATATAGAAAATAAAAACAACAGAACCCATCAACGACACAAGGAGCTGGTTCTTTGAAAAAAATTAGTAAAATTGATAAACCTCTAGCCACTTATCAAAAAGAAAAGAGAAAGGACTCAAATACATAAAATCACAAATGAGAGACGAGAAATAAACAACACCAAAGAAATACAAAGAATTATAAAAGAATATTATGAAAAATTACATGCCAACAAATTGCACAATCTGGAAGAAATGGATAAATTCCTAGAAACATATAACCTACCAAAACTGAAACAGGAAGAAATAGAAAATTTGGACAGATAACCAGCAAAGAAATTAAATCAGTAATAAAAAATCTCCCAACAAAAGTCCAGGGCCAGATGGCTTCACAGGTAAATTTTACCAAACATTTAGAGAAGAGTTAGTACCTACTCTTCTCAAACTATTTAAGAAAACAGAAAAGGAAGAAAAACTTCCAAATTCATTCTATGAGACCAGCATTACCCTGATAGCAAAACCAAATAAAGATACCACTAAAAAAGAGAACTATAGGCCAAATCCCTGATGAACATGGACGCAAAATTTCTCAATAAAATACGAGCAAATCGAATCCAACAGTACATTGAAAGAATCAGTCACCATGACCAAGGAGGATTTATTCCTGGGCAGTAAGTGTGGTTCAATATTCACAAATCAATCAATATTATACACCACATTAATAAAAGAAAGGATAAGAACCATATGATCCTCTCAAGAGATGCAGAAAAAGCATTTGACAAAGTACAATATCCATTCATGAAAAAAACCGTCAACAAAGTAGGCTTAGAGGGAACACACCTCAACAATGATAAAGGCCATATATGAAAAGCCCACAGCTAATAGCATCCTCAATAGGGAAAATTGAGAACTTTTCCTCTACGGTCAAGAACAAGATGGGGATGTCCACCTTCACAACTGTTATTTAACGTAATATTGGAAGGCCTAGTCACAGTAATCAGACAACAAAAAGAAAGAAAAGGCATTCAAACTGGCAAGGAAGATGTCAGACTTTCAATATTTGCAGACGGCATGACACTCTATAGAGAAAACCCAGAAGACTCCACCAAAAAAATTCTAGAATCATAGGATACATAGGATACAAAATCAATATGCAGAAATCTGTTGAATTTCTATACACCAATAATGAAGCAGCAGAAAGAGAAATTAAGGAATCAGTCCCATTTACAATTAGACCAAAACTAATCAGATACCTAGGAAAAAACCTAACCAAAGAGGTAAAAGACCTGTACCTGTTACTCTGAAAACTATGAAACACTAATGAAAGAAATTAAAGATGACATAAAGAAATGGAAAAACATTCCATGCTCATGAACTGGAAGAACAAATATTGTTAAAATGCCTATGTTACCCAAAGCAGTCTACACATTTAATGCAATCCCTATCAAAATACTACCAGCCTTTTTCACAGAGCTAGAACAATCCTAAAATCTGCATGGAACCACAAAAGACCCCCAATAGCCAAAGCAGCCTTGAAAAAGAAAAGCAAAGCTGGAGGCAGAGCAAAGAAAACAACCAACAAAATGAAAAGGCAATCTTTGGAATGTAAGGAGATATTTGCAAATGACAATCTGATAAAAGGCTAATATCCAAAATATACAAAGAACTTATAAAACCCAACACACAAAAAACAAAAAATCCAATTAAAAAACGGGCAGAACAGATTATTTTTCCAAAGAATACATACAGATGAGCAACAGACACATGAAAAGATGCTCATCATCACTTGCCATCAGGGAAATGCAAACCAAAACTACAATGAGATACCACCTCATACCTGTCAGAATGGGTAAAATCAACAACACAAGAAACAACAGATGTTGGCAAGCATGTGGAGAAAGGGGAACCCTCTTGCACTGTTAGTGGGAATGCAAACTGGTGCAGCCACTCTGGAGAACAGTATGGAGGTTCCTCAAAAAGTTAAAAATAGAACTACCTATGACCTAGTAATTGCACTACTAGATATTTACCCAAAGAATACAAAAATACTAATTCTAAGGCTACATGCACCCTGATGTTTATAGCAGCATTATCTACATTTGCCAAATTATGGAAATAGCCCAAATGTCCATCGACCGGTGAATGGATAAAGAAGATGTGATATATATGCACAATGGGATATTAGCCATAAAAAAGAATGAAATCTTGCCTTTTGCAATAACATGGATGGAGCCAGTATATCATGCTTAGTGAAATAAGTCAGTCAGAGAAAGACAAATATCAGATGATTTCACTCATCTGTGGAATTTAAGAAACAAAACAAGCAAAGGGGGAGGGGGAAGAGCGAATGGTAACCCAAGAAACATGACACTTAACTACAGAGAACAAACTGATGGTTACTAAAGGGAGGTGGGTGGGGAGATGTGCTAAATAGGTGATGGGGATTAAGGAGTACACTTGTTGTGATGAGCACTGGGTGATGTATGTAAGTGCTGAATCACCAAATTGTATACCTGAAACTAATATTACACTGTAACTAACTGGAATTTAAATAAAAACTTAAGTCAAAATTTAAAAGACCGTACAGCACCTGTCTGAGTAGTATAACTTGTAAATGTATTAGCAACTATTTTCCCCCGTTTTCCTTCAAAATCTTCATCTCCTTCTTCTTCAGAGGAAGAGCTAAAGTGTTCTTCAACAAGTTTTTTGGCTGCAGCTTGATTGGCCTTCTTGATTTCTTCAAATTTCCTTTGAGACATTAGCTCTGCTTAAAAGAAAAAAAAATTAAGTTTCATTTCTGCAAAATAATCTCTAAGCACATAGATTTAAAAGTCATCCTTGGAGCATTCTATCTTACTATTATGCACAAAAAAAAGTATTTTCAAGTTTCTTGGCAAACAACTGAAGAGAATAACACAATGAAAACTTTCACTTTTGTTAAATATCCTGCTAAATGCAGCAAATTGTCCTAGAAACAGTGATTAACAAATCAATTTAAAATTTATAAAGATATGATAAAGTATCAAAAAACTATTAACCTCAAAATAAGGATGTTAATAAAAATTAAAATGGCATGTTTAAAAATAAATCATACACAGTGATTTTTGAGAGGTGGGAAGCATGCCAACTGGGAGCACATCAGAATCAATTAAACTGGACGCTTTCCCAAACAATCCTCTTCCACACTACAGCCCAGCCTGGCCTGACCCACCAAAGATTTTGCACAAACAATATTCACTATATACCCATTATCTTTATAATCTGCTCTTAGAAAGGTCAAGGATTTTTTGCGTTTATTAAAATGTGGTCACAAAACATGTTTTGTGAATGCTGCCAATATGGAAAATGTGGTTCCTACAGCAGCTTCATTCCAAAAGAAATGTTAAATAAATTCAGATTAGTTCTTCCACTATTCTCTTTAGCACTGACTGTACTTCTCATTTTTTTACTTGGTTAAATAATAACACAAAAAGAATTACATTACTTCAGAGCATATACCCAACTCCTTAAGGGCAAGGACCAGGGAAATTTTCTTCAAGTACTAACTATTAATAAACTCTTATGATCAGCAATCCTAGTTTTAAGAAAGGAGCCACAAACATTCAGAAGTGATCTGAATTTATTAGTGCCCATACTGAGAGGATTTTAAATTCACTAATTAAAACTGTAAATTGCTGATTTAAGTTCACTTTATGCTTAAAACTGATGAGCCACTACCCAGACAAGCTTTCTTAATCTCGGTGGTGCATTTGTACTTAACGACATTTTATCTTTTATTTCCCTCATGAAATGTTTTCCCTTTGTTGTTGCAGCCAGTTTAGTTGGGGATTATGCAGTATTTCAAGTAAAATTGAAAGAAAATGTATACAGGGCCTATATAGGAATCTTTTGGGTATTAGGAGAAAAGTAATGGTTATAAGACATATGGCTCAAAACTTGATATGCAGTAAGAGAGATGATAAATGTCATTACTTGTGAGAAAACAGCACATGAAGATACATTTCTTGAAAGGCTGAGTTAGAAGACATAATAAAAACATCCATAACCCTATCAACATATCCACATAAGATCATCTCAAAGAAAAGTGACAAAGCAAACTTCCTATATATTATTTCTTACAGACAAATCTCAATTCCCCAGGTGAAGGATGCTTGCTTTTCTGCTATCCACAAAATCCAAGAAACTACCAAAACCGTTCTTGGTCTTCAACTTGCACATTTTACCACCACTTGTATCCTAAACTCATAACTGCTACCAGAAGGGAGGTGGGTGGGGAGATGGGTGAAGTAGGTGATAAAGATTAAGGAATACACTTGTGATGAGCACCGGCTGATGTATGGAAGTGCTGAATCACTATACTGCATACCTGAAACTAATATAACACTATATGTTAACTGTACTGGAATTAAAATACACTCAGTAACTCCAAGCTAAAAGAATACCACCTAACTTTAAAATTAGCTTAGGGAAAAAGCACTCAGAAGCTCAACTTGCTCCTCCCCTCAAAAAATATATTCAGAAAAATACATTCCAAACATTAAAATGATTTGAGGGATTATTCCCTTGGCCTCATGCAATCCTCCATTAGCATGGACAATTCAGAGTTGCCTGTGTGTTCTCAGGCTACACTAAAACAGCCTTGGATGAAGGATAATGACATGCCAGAGGAGGCCACATCAGATACATCAGAAAAAGGACATGAAATTTGTGAATAGGAACCACAGTTGAGAAAAATACCTCAAGCTCAAGGGCTTACAGGTCATATTCAATTAAAGTTACTAAACTAAGGCAATCTCGCAAAGATGGAAAAAGACAACTGCCCCCCCCCACCCGCCGGTAGGAGAGACCACGTGAAATGGAGTGCCTAAACCCAACCTAAACGGAATTTCTGTAACTGGCGGTTGCCATGGGTAAAGCCACACGCTCCTATTTTACCAAAAAAAAAAAAAGGAAGAAAGAAAGAAGTTGTCGAGATTATTATGAGATTTTAAAAAGAAAAGAAAAAACAAAACAAAAAACCAGCGGGCAATCAATTCAGATTTAGAGGATCGTGTTAGCCAAACCAAAGTATAGGCTAAATCAGAACCCCGGGCCACAATTTGCAACTTTTGGTCTAGGCATTCAACAGGCAAAAAAGAATAAAGAGAAGAACACTGGACAAAGAAGTTATGCTGATTGAAAGTAATTAAAATTAAGGTGAAAGAGGTATGCTGGGAATCTGCCTAGAATGCCGAAATGAGTAGCTTCCTTGAAGGTTTGAGAAGTGGGGGCAATAATAGACTCTCCAAGGAGAAGTGAATGAGAGCAAGGGCGGGGAGGCCGTTCTGACGAGTAAGTGCCTTAGTAGGCATCCAGGTGAAACCGAGGACGGGGAGCCTTTCTCACCACACGCTACGGAAGTCTGCAGGGCTTCAGCTCCCGCGGGGCTGCGCCTGGCTGAACTACCCGCAGCCGCAGGGGTCGCGGCTCCTCGGGAGCTGGGGCCAGGTCCCGCAGCGCCCACTGAGCCCTTCTCTCGCCCTCCTCCGGCGCCGCGGAGATGGATTCCATTTCCTGAAGAAGGGGCCGCGGTGGCCCGTCCTCGGGCTCGGCCTCGGCCACCGGCCACCTGGCGCCAGGAAGCTTCCATTCCTGCAGAGGAAAGAGAAAAAAAAAAAAAAAAAAAAGAGTGGAAGGAGAGTGAGCGCAGCGGGTGCCGAGGCGGGGAATTAGGGGCAGTGGCGGAAACCAGTATGAGGGGCGGAATGAGGAAGGTCCCCGCAGGGCAAGGACCGGGTTTGAGAAGGTCGCGGCCCTGTCACTAGGAGGGTGAGTCCCCGCAAAGCCCACGTTTTGGAGACGGACCGGAGAGGCAGAGGACTAGGCAGAGAAATGGACCTCAGGGCAAGGAGGAGTACCCAGCTCCAGAGTGGGAGAGCCCGGGGAAAGGAAAGCGCCTCCTCAGCCTCAGGAGGAGCGCGGTGCGGATGGAAGTACAGACCTCTTGGCTCCCGCCGGGAACCAACTGCAGTAGCGGACCCCAAGGAAATCTACGTCTCCTTACCGACCGCGCCTGCCCCCGGCGACTACAACTCCCAGAAGCCCGGATCCACTGCCCGCAGAACGCGTGGCATCACTGGCCACTTCCTTATCCGGGAGTGTTGGGGCGGGGGGCGGGGGGCGGTTAGCGAGAGGAGCTCAGAACGCGTGCGCGGACTTGGACCGAGTCTTCGGAAACTACAATTCCCGGCGTGCTGTGGGGCTTGGGCGGGACCGTCGCCCAGAGAGGGCGGAAGGTTGGGGAGGTGGGTGGACTGTAAGTGTTCTCGACTCGAGAGGATGCTGGGGCTTCCCTACGAATACCTTAAACCCATTTGGGTGTCAGGATTTTGTCAGAGTAGCCATAATTGACTGTCCTCCAGCTTTAGCATTGACCGTGCTTTTAGGTCGCAGGAGGATTCTCACTGACCGAAATAAACAATGAAAATACTTCGGGGTCGGGGAAGAGGGAGGAAAAGCTGGGGAGTATTGCGGAAACGTGCCTGGAGTGGAGAAAGCGCCCTTAGGAATTGCTGAAGCGATGTAGAGGATATGTCTCTCATAGTTTGTATAGTTTACAATAAGGTTTTCCTGAGGCAGGCCGATTTTTACCTACGTGACAGCTCCCTGAAGTAGATTATATTACGGAAAGTAGTTGAGAGCCATGACCTAAAGCTGACTTTGCTGACTTTTCCAGTAAGATAAGGATAAGTAAATAAATTTCAAAAAATTGGGGGTCTGTCCGGGATTGAGAAATGTATTGCTGTTTGGAACGACACAGTCTTTATACAACTCTTCAACTTAATTTCTCTACATTAACAATAAATACCTAATGTTTAGATAGCATTTGTTAAGTGCCAGGCACTATTCAAAGTGTCTCATGTATTAACTAGTTAGTTAATTAGTTATTCACGATAACACTATTCCCGTTTTACAGCTGAGAACACGAAATACAGAGAAGTTAAGTAACCTCCCTTGCTCATATAGCTAGTTATTGTTATCATCGATACTATTTTTAAACATGATTTATTCAAAATCCTAGCACAATCAGAATCACAACTGAGTAGTATGATTCCTGGCCTATATTTTTAAGCACCATGCTATATAATTACTGTATAAATGTATTTAAGATTTACCTAAAAATTCCGGTTACTTTTAGAGGACCTAATAAGTCATATAACTCATAATCAGAATTTTCCCCTGCCATATTATACAATGAAAATTTATAATCATAATAATTACTTTGGAATCAGAAAGAATCCTGTGTGTTCTCTGAATTAGGAAACTGTTATAGTATGACAGTAAATTTTTGCAGTAAAAAACTGTATCATGCAGAAGCATAGGTAAATTGAGAAAATTTTCAGAAGTGACCATTGCTGTTATTTTTACTTTGAAATTTTAGATAATATTTGGAAAAACAAGAGGGTTTTTTGTGTGTTTATCAAAAGGGAACATGAGAAATATAATTAAACATTATAAAGATATAATTAAAATTATAAAGATTGATAAATATTGTGCAGGTCCCATTAATTTTAATTCTTAAAAATAGTACTCAGAGGAATAGCTAAAAAAGGCTGACAATACCAAGTGTTGGCAACAAGAACTCTAATACTCACTGGTGGAAGTGGAAATTGGTTCAAAGACTTTCAAAAAATGTAGACAGTATCTACTAAAACTAAACACGACCTACTACTACAGCACCATGACCAAGCAATTCCACTTCTGTATACACACCTAAAAGAAATAAGTGCATAGTCCACAAAGACTCACATTTAAAGCAGCTTTATTCATAACAGCCCAAAATTAGAAACAACCTTAATGTCCCGGAGAATAGAAAAATAAATGTGGTGTATTCATATAATGAATATATATATGTATGTTCATTATATATACGTGGGTGGATCTCAAAGACATCATATTAAGCAAAAGAAGCCAGACACAACAAAGTCCTTACTTGTGGTTCCAATTTCACGAAGTTCCTGAACAAAAAATAGAAGCCAGATTAGTATTTGCCTCTGATGGGGGTAGGAGGATTTTAACTGGGAGGAGGAGTGAGGTTTCTACCTAAGTGGTGGAAAAATTGTATCTTGATCTGGATAGTAGTTTCACTTGTGTGTACACATGTAAAAACAAAAAAATATGCTATTATGATTTGTAAGATTTACTATACGTATGATACACCTCAATTCTGAAAAGAATTCTAAAATAAATATAGAGAAAATAAGATATCTGAATACTTCCATTGTCTGGCCACTTGAAAAATGTGATTTAATTATATTTATTTGTCCATTACTGATATATTATGCTCATGTGGATTCTTTTTTGCCAGAGTATTCACACAAAATCCCCCAAATACATTTACCCTTGACAAATACGTATATACTTAGGTAAACACTGTGCCAGTTATCAATTTATTGCCTCTCAGCTCCAATTCACCCTTCAATAATATGTCCTCTGTAATAAAGGACAGAACTCTTTCAAGCATCTCCTCTGAGAGCGCCACCTTATGTTTTCCCAGCAGAGGGCGCTGGAGAGACATTGCAGGAGAGAACTGTTTTGGTGGGTGTTTTCCTGCTACTAGGGATTGGGTCAGCAACCTTGCAGCCTCTGCCTGGCCGGCAGTTAACCTTCTGGCCAGACCTCTCAACATGGAAACTGGCCCCAAGGCCCCCTGCTCATTGCAGCGCCCTGAGCCACCATTTACTTTGCTGCCAACAGCTCCCATGCCCTACACCTGGCACCATTCTCTGTAGACCATGGCACAGGTCCCCTGTGCCCCAGCCTCCATTCTCTCTGCAAGCCCACCTCACTGGTTTCTGATCAGCTGCACTCCAGAGGGACTGCAGAACATCTGTGTCCAGAACAAACCAGCAAGCTCCTCTGCTATCCAATGAGTTGAACTATACCTTCTCCGATAAGATCTGAAACCAGCTTTGAGGGAGGGGAGGCCCTTCCAAGCTTCTCCTTCTTTGGATACTCTCCCTCAGCCCTAGAATACCATATATGGTTTCCTTATAGTCATTCTTTTATCAAAGTTTATTCATTCTTTGTATTAAACTTAACCCACTGTGTAGTTTCTCTTCCGGATTGGGCACTAAGTGATACGGGCACTGTAAACATTTTAGATCAGCTTTCCTTGACATACTGGATATGACCCAATCAAACTGACAGCAACAACAACAAAAATCCTCTGGAAAACAGGGTGGAAGTTCCTCAAAGAGTTAAAAATAGAACTACCCAGCGCGTCTGGGTGGCTCAGCCGTTAAGTGTCTGCCTTTGGCTCAGGTCATGATCTCAGGATCCTGGGATTGAGTCCCACATCAGGGGGGGGGTCCCTGCTCAGCAGGGAGCCTGCTTCTTCCTCTCCCTCTGCTCCTCCCCTGCTTCTTCTCCCTCTCTTTCTCTGTCAAATAAATAAAATCTTTAAAAAAAATAGAACTACCCTACCGCCCAGCAACTGCACTACTAGGTATTTGTCTAAATGATACAAAAATAGTGATTTGAAGGGGCACATGCACCCCAATGTTTATAGCAGCAATGTCCACAATAGCCAAACTATGGAAAGAGCCCAGATGTCCATCGACAAATGAATGGATACAGAAGATGTGGTGTATATATACATACACAATGGATTATTACTCAGCTGTCAAAAGAATGAAATCTTGCCATTTGCAACAACGTGGATGGAACTAGATGGAACGGTAAAGGAGAGTAGAATGCGGTGTTGGCTGAAAGCAGATACAGGGTCAAGGAACTACAGGTCAGGAACTAGCATTAGGAACAAATGCTAAGTGAAACAAATCCATCAGAGAAAGACAAATGCCATGTGATTTCACTCATATGTGGAATTTAAGAAACAAAACTGATGAACATAAGGAAAGGGAAGGAAAAATAAAATAGGATAGAGACTCTTAACTCTAGGAAACAAACTGAGGGTTGCTGGAGGGGAGGTGGGTGGGAGAATGGGGTAACTGGGTGATGGGCATTAAGGAGGGCACTTGATGTAATGAGCACTGGGTGTTACATGCAAATGATGAATCACTAAATTCTACCCTGAAATTAATAATACACTATATGTTAACTAACTTGAATTTATATTTTAAAAAAGGAAACAAAGGATGCGACACAGAGTGCAAAATATACCACCAAAATAAGTAAAAAAAGATTTCCTGCCATATGTAGGATCAGAGGAGAACTAGAAAAATTAACAATCAGATTGTTTTCCTAGTCAGGTTAAAATGTATATAACTTTAGGGAACTGATTCCTTTTTTCCTTTTGTTAGTAATAATCAGAATTGAGGGCGCCTGTGTGGCTCAGTTGGTTAAGCAACTGCCTTCGGCTCAGGTCATGATCCTGGAGTCCCGGGATCGAGTCCCGCATGGGGCTGCCTGCTCAGCAGGGAGTCTGCTTCTCCCTCTGACCTTCCCCCCTCTCATGTGCTCTCTTTCTCTCATTCTCTCTCTCAAATAAACAAATAAAATCTTTTAAAAAAAAGAATTGAATAATAAAAATAGTACTATATAATATGAATTTCATGAAAATGAAACTAATTTTTTTACCTTTATCATTTTACTTTTTCTAGGAAAACCTTCATAAGAGAAACAAAATCAGCCATTTATTCATATTTAATGTAAGCTGTTTTCAAATATTCAGCTTAATAATCCATCCATCCATCCATCAATCATTGAATCTAGTGGATATCTAATACTGTCAGGTACTGGACGTATGTACTCAGAGATGGGAGGGAGTCACTGTAAGTAAAGTACCAGGATAGGAATGAAGAGGCTCATGAAGACCCTAAGAGCCAAATGAATTATTAAGGTCAGGATAAGATTTGAACAGGATGGAAAGATGCAATCTGAGTGGTAGGGACACAGCATAAGCTCAGGTTTAGAGTGAAAATAAACATGGCACGTGTTTTGAGCCAAAAAAGAGAAAATTCTGTTGAATCTTAAGGCAAGGGTCACAAATAAGGCTGGAGAGCCCTTGAAAACAGAAGGAGAAAAATCTCAATTGGCAGTACGTAACCACTATGAGGTT